AATTCAACGGGACATACTGAACACTAAGCGCGGATGAAACCCCCACAGAAAAAAATATTTGAATCCTTGTTAGACAAGTTAGCGATATTGGAAAGCAAGTGACAGTCGAAGAGATCTCAACCATATATATCTGATCCCAACCAACGCATAACTGCCTCCTGCTATGATAAGCACAACACCGGCAACGGATAACCCTGGAGTTATTCTCGCGCGGAGAGGAAGGAGGTTAGGGTCTGGCTCAAAACCAACTTAGCATTAGCGTAGTCCTTGCATACTTGAACTGGAATGATTCACCGTTAAGAAAGGAAAGATCTGTGGGAAGAGGACGTTCGAATCTATTCGCTGTGGATCATTCGTCTCCAGCCTACCATTTCCTAGGATTGCGACCGATTATGAGTTCCTCATCTGCGTGAATGTCGATCTCTGCTTGCAAAACATGGCCTTGGTTAGATTAGGTGGAGGAATTGTCTGTCACTTATGGTACTATCATGAGAAGTCGTTTGGGGATAGTGAGGACTTCAAACGTACGGCCGGCAGGATGCCCATCATTCCACACATGTAGATATCCAACCAGAGAGGTCGAGTCGGGAGAGGACGGAGATCTACCCGGCGCGATAGATGGAGTCATTATTGCTGATAGGGGCTGGGAAGCTGGAGTGTGATTGACACCCGCGTTCGAACGTTCACACTGGGGAAACGATACGGGGCAGAGTGACTGATATAAGAAAATATCAAGTTATGATAGAAATAGAAAAGGGGCAGGTGTTTGAAACGAATAGCTAGAATAATATGCCTTCCATTCTGTAAAAATAAAATGACAAATGCACGCTTTGGAGGTGTGACCATCATTTTCTAACACAGGATAGAGTTATTGAAGACCAGGAGAGAAAGGAGGGCAGGATCACTGTCATGAGAGCGTGCTAGGGAATGAATGCTATCTCGCACTTCACCACCGCGAGATATTCCCACCAAGCCCTTCCTTGGTCTTGTGTTTTATTTCATATTTGAAATCCACACAACCTTGGTGGTATGGCGCCTTGCACCTTTGTCTTTGTTGGTGTCAACCCGTTTTAGATCCATCTGCGAGCTTAAACTTTTTGGACCTTCATATATAGTTAACTATATATAAATAGACAAGCTTTCTCGTTCGATGGTTACTTGCTACTTTAATTTCATCACGGAGCACTCCCATATAGGACAAAAGGGGGTACGATTTCAGAATATGGCACTCAGACTATTCTGAAATGACTCCTTGAATAGCATCCAACTCCAAAAAGGTATTCTACCTCTGGGCGAGGAACAGAATCTATGACACACTCTCCTCCCCCCAAAATAGAGCTGGCTGGAGGGGTAGCGAAGTAAACAGACCCCATAAACCGCTTGCATCGTCAAAGGACTTTGTCTAGCCAGTAGCAAAGCGGGGCTGTATGCATAGTACAGTCCACCCGCCGCTGCTTGATCAGAGGGACGATGCCAGCAGGGGACATACATGCTGGTTATAGTGGATGATGATGATGATGATGATGATGATGATGTTCTTTCTCAGTCCAACTCTACCGGCAAAAATAAGACTTGACCTCTGTGTGTGTGGTTGATGGTATCGTTAAAAGGATTCATGAAGCTTCTATTTTATGTGTCGCTCACGTATCTGTCCCTGGTGACTATTTGGTGGATCTTGAAGGGTGATCTGCTTCGTATGCGGGCAAATTCGCTCTGTGACATCTGGTATGGGCTGATATATTCATGATCAACACGAAGCATGGTTCCTTTGCAAAAGAGAGTAGGTTTCATGGGACAGAAGCCTTATTTGTCAGGATTAGATATTTGAATCATTGGTCCGTGTTATATATCATGCAAACTCTCCGGTATAGTCATCTGGAAGAGGATGGAAGGCTGACATGAAGTTCCGCTAGACAATGGCGTTGGAGATAGTTCCTATAATCCTTCCAGATAATCTACTAGATACCATGAAAGAGTGTAAATAGTAGCTCCCATAGCAGGGATCACTGGCTATGTTACGGACCGGGAGGTGGTATTAAAATAAATCTACAAACTTTACAACCCGCCGCCGGCTTGCATTCTTCGAATCCGTTCCTCCGCAGCCCTCGCCCGCCGCTCCCGCTCAAGCCTCGTCCGCATCTCCGGCGTCATCCCTCTCATCTCCTCCTCCCGCTTCTCTGCACCGGTCTTCTCCAGCAGGCGTTGCCCGCCCGCCTTCTTTCGATTTCCCAGAGCCCTTTCAGCATCCTCTCGTTTCAAACGCTCTGCCTCAGCTTTTCGCCTGCTAGCCTCTGCATCTGCAGCCGCCTGCCTCTCGCGCTCTGTTCTGTTCTCCGCTTCTGTCTTGGATAGCGGGGGTGGGACGTGGGCGGCGTCCCAGTCCCATTTCGATTCGCCAAGCTCGTGGCGGGCGACGCGGAAGGTGTCGCGTGTGGGCCTGTCGCCCGCTAGGTCGAAGGGTGGTTTGCCCTCTCCGTTTAAGAGGGTGGGGTCTGAGTTGCATTTTGTGAGGAGGGCAAGGACGGTTGCGGGAGAGTTGGAGCTTGCGGCGAGATGAAGAGGTGTTGGCGAGTGGTGCATTTGCTGGGAAGAGGATTGGTGAAATGTGAAGGATGGAGGGATGGAGTTGTTTGTGATATAGGATATTAGCGCGGGGACTTTTGAACGGCGGATTAGAGCTTGGATTTGGGAAGAGTGTAATATCATTGTCTCATCCTCTTGGGATAGTTTTTGCTGTTGCTGTTGTAACTGCTGTGAAGATGGTTTGGATAATTTGGATGATTTGGACATTGTTTCACTCGGCTTTTTGGCCTCTAGTGCAAGCGCCGCTTCATCAATGTGACTAACTTTTACACGAGTAAGTTCGGTGAATGCTCTCATAAGTTCTCCCTGCGTGGCTCGCCGGGTTGTGAACGGGAATCCGCGAAGTCTGGAATCCGAAGACCTGAGCACCTGTCCATCGTACGGCCCAAATAAAATTCTCCGATTCATGTTTCCCGTCGCCCTTACGAAGAGCAGTTGTGCTTGGTCGATCATTTCCTTCCAGCTTCCCAGCAACTGTCTGATTTCAGCTTGCAATGCAGCCTCGTTGTATCTTCGGATCGACGCACCTGCGGAATGTGCAGCTCCATGTGCCGCATCAGCTGCGGATTGGGAGCCACCCTGTTTCCGCCTTGTTGTGTATCGATGAAATGTTTTATGAGCGAGTACCCTTGCCTGCCGCTCCTCAATTCCACCGGGTTTCTTTATTGTCTCTGGCGCTAAGGCCACTATCATTGCCGCAAAATGCCCGCCGCCAATCATACACAGGAACACGTAGGGACTGGGCTGTTGGAGTTTGTTGGTTGTATCACTGGTATGGGAAGTTTTGTTTGGCTGATACAGCGATGCCTTGTATTGCTTATTCCTCAGAGATTCTAATAAATGGTCGGTTTCTTCTTGCTCTGTGTTGGTGAAAAGGGCTCGATATATACCCAAGGACGTTGCCTGGGGGAGCAAAGAGCTTGAAAACCATAGCAACGGATGCTTCCCAGGGTTTCTTGTTTGTTTCGCTATTATCTCCTCCGCTTCTGCCGTAGATGATATTTTGGCCTGTTTCTTAAGGAGCGCCGTAAGCGTTGTATCAGGTGGTTTTTGTCTTTCTTCTACCTCCTCTTCTTCGTCCGATGACGACTCAGACCCGGATATCGATTCATCCAACTCTCCAATCGCCTTATTGAATTCGACCTCATTTAACACTGGCGTTCCTCGCAATCGCGATTTCAAGTTGTATCTGTGGTGGTCTGACTTTACATGGTCCCTCTGTTCATGGACGTCCTGGAAGGATACATCGCACAATGAACATGTCGTAACGCCCGTCGCTCCATCTGACCGCTCCGTTTGGTCTAGCGTTTTATGGCGGTCGTCTAAATTTGGAGGAACGGGAGATTGCGCGCCAGTAGCCTTTAGTGATAGGGAAGCAATAAGCTGTGCTGGGAGATCGAATACTGCGCATAAACGCCCAAGGTGCATTCTGTTAGCTTCCCCGCGACAAGACGAACTTGAGTACAAATGAGGCTATACTCACCGTATAAAGGTCGCTTCAGAAGCTCTTGTCCCGTATGGACATCCAGGGCCATGGCGACAGTGCCCTCCTTCTTCTGTTGGTTGAAAATTTAAATATATACTGGTACCAGACTGACACTCTCCTTTTGCATTGGGAGGTTTTTATGATAGATGTTCTTCACAAGAGAAAGTGCAAGTACGCGCTAGTCTGTATGTAGTTAGTAACATCGTACTCTCTCCGACGCCAAGCAAAGCCTTCAACTTAGGTGCATCAAAAAAGAGTCAAAATGAGAACCGAACAGTCATCTTATCCTGAGCCATTGCTGGGTAGCGGGTTGGATGCAACGGAGTGCCAATGGCAACAGGGAACCCCTTGTTTTTTACGGAGTACCGTGCTATGTATTCATGTTTCAGGGCACCAGGCACCGCCAGTAGAAAAATGAATGCTCGGGTTGTAGCGGACGTAGCGGACTTTTGTATGACCGGCCTGAATTCCCACCTTGGACGAGTGTGGGCGTACAGTTGAACGTGGTTAATAAAAAGTTGAACATGGTTGATTTTTCGGGCTGGAATAACCTTCGGCGTGGTTTTGACCATAAACCATGTCAACCCCCCATTAACATATCTCACACATTGTGATTTTATCATATTTCTCAGAGCTCTATTTCTCAGCTAACCTGGATTCTAACTCTAGATTGCTAATTCTAACTCATAACTGTTTTTCAGATGTTGAAGTAGAACTAAATAAGAGCTGATTAGTAATATACAGTGAGGGCGTGTAAAAGATATTTAGTGGGTGTAGATTTTAGTGAGGAAGTGAGGACTGAACATGGTTTATTTTTCAGATTCACTTTTTTTAAACCATGTTCAACTGTAACCGGGACGAGTGTCACTGTGGTTAGCAATGCGCACGATGACAAATCGATACTCCCCAGGCTGCACTTTGATGCGTGGATCTTGCTGCACGAAACACGAGGTGACCGGGTTACATCAACTTGAACACACACTGACGCGCGACGACCTGTGCACCTGGAAGCACCAATATTGACCTGATAACATAGCTACAGCTCATCTCTCCACTTGCCCATAGCTGGATCCTGAAATCTCTGCATGTTGTCGAAGCAGCTCGGAGAAAATAGAAATAGAACGATGACAGACACTATAGTCCCCTTGCAGTCTAGTTGTGCTGTTGGCAGGGTGCTTTAGTAAGCCGGCGTTTTCCATGGGTCCAAGCTCTCCCGCGGTTCTTGGTGCCGTTTTAAATTGGTTATCATCCCCAGCAGGAAGACACAAATTCCACGACAGCTCGCTATTTGTGTCCCTCTCACCACCTCTCCGGGTGTCATAGCACCCGCTGCTGCTGGCACTGCTGATACTGCTGGCTCATTGGCCCGAATATGGCTCTGAATGGAATCCCTCAAGTGGTCTTATCCGCTTCACGATCTTCCAATGTCAGCTCCTCATTGCCTTCAGCTCTCGGCCGCCGGCAAGCTTTCTGCGGCGATAGTGAAGGATGGGGTCCGATAAGCGGCACGAGGTTCGACTTCACACCTTGTTTTCTAGATGTCTGGGTATCTCTGGTGGCCGTTTGGGGTCTGGTTATGGGCGCTGGTGCTATCTGGTTCTTATTTACAAAGAGGACCGCTCAGCCCGTACAGAAGAATTGGCATTTCTACGCGAAGTTGGTAAGCTGTTCCGTGACCTCCTCCTCAAGATGTTCTCTTTCTTTCTTTTTTTTGGGATCTAATACGGTTATAGGCTGTCATATGGGCTCTCATCTTGGTGACCATGCTCCAAGCTTCGCTTCAGGTGGAGACTTCCCCCAAGATATGGCTTGGAGACTTTAGGTTCTGGACAAATATCCTTATTTTCGCATCTTTGGGCGTTATATATGCTGTGCAGTACTATGAGCATTGGAGGAGTCGACAACCGAACGGGGTTGTTTTATTCTACTGGCTATTTTTAATGATCGTCTACGCCGTCAAACTCCGATCCCTCGTTTCCCAGCAATTATACCGACATCAATTGCCTTATTTTATCACCTTCGCCGTCGGCCTTGGCCTTGTCATAACCGAGTTTGTGTTGGAATATTTTATCGAGAAGCAACAAAGCGCATATGATGCGCTGGGAGACGAGGACGAGTGCCCCTACGAATATGCTGATATCTTTTCCGTTTTGACTTTCTCTTGGATGACGCCTTTGATGAAGTTTGGCTACAACAATTTTCTCACCCAAGATGATCTGTGGAATCTGCGTCGCAGAGATACCACATGTGTCACCGGTAGCGAATTGGAGAAAGCGTGGGCTCATGAGCTGAAAAAGAAAAAACCGTCGCTCTGGTTTGCCTTATTCAGAGCGTTTAGCGCACCATATTTCCGGGGGGCTGTGATCAAATGTGGGAGTGACATTTTGGCTTTTATCCAGCGTCAGCTTTTACGGCTCCTTATCACATTTATTGATTCATTTCGGTCTGACACCCCGCAACCAGTTGCTCGGGGTGTTGCAATTGCTCTCGCCATGTTCCTTGTTTCAGTAAGCCAGACGGCTTGCCTTCATCAGTATTTCCAGAGAGCCTTTGAAACTGGAATGCGTGTTAAGTCTTCTCTGACCTCCATGATTTACACAAAGTCCCTGAAACTTTCGAATGAGGGCCGCGCTTCAAAAACCACTGGTGATATCGTCAACCATATGGCCGTTGACCAGCAACGACTTTCTAACCTGACTCAGTTTGGAATGCAACTGTGGTCTGCGCCGTTTCAAATTACCCTCTGTATGATATCTCTCTACCAGCTTCTTGGGTTGAGTATGCTTGCGGGTGTTGGAGTAATGATATTGATGGTTCCACTGAATGGGCTGGTTGCAAGGATAATGAAAAACCTTCAAGTCAAGCAAATGAAAAATAAGGACCAGCGAACCAGGTTAATGACCGAAATTCTGAACAACATGAAAACTATCAAGCTTTATGCTTGGAATACCGCCTTTATGAACAAGCTAAACCACGTTCGCAATGACCTGGAGTTAAATACACTCAGAAAAATTGGCGCCACACAGTCCGTTGCGAACTTTACCTGGTCATCGACACCATTCCTAGTCTCTTGCTCCACTTTCGCCGTTTTTGTTTTGACGAATGAAAAACCTTTGACGACAGAGATTGTTTTTCCGGCATTAACCCTTTTCAATCTACTAACGTTTCCTCTGTCTATTCTCCCCATGGTCATCACGTCCATCATCGAGGCTTCAGTTGCAGTGTCTCGCCTTACGACATACTTCACGGGGGAAGAATTGCAGGAAAATGCGGTTACATTTGAGGACGCTGTTTCTCACACTGGAGATGAGTCCGTACGAATCCGGGATGCATCCTTTACATGGAACAAACATGAAGGTCGAAACGCCCTGGAGAATATTGAGTTCAGCGCCAGGAAAGGAGAGCTGAGTTGTATAGTCGGTCGTGTAGGTGCTGGAAAGTCATCTTTCCTACAAGCAATGTTAGGAGATCTCTGGAAGATCAATGGAGAAGTGATTGTCCGAGGTCGCATTGCGTATGTCGCACAACAAACTTGGGTTATGAACGCTAGTGTCAGGGAAAATATTGTCTTTGGTCATCGCTGGGATCCCCATTTCTACGAGGTTACTGTAGAAGCATGCGCCTTGCTCGATGACTTCAAGATTCTTCCAGATGGCGACCAGACTGAGGTTGGTGAACGGGGCATTTCTCTCTCTGGCGGCCAAAAAGCCCGTCTAACGTTGGCAAGGGCTGTGTATGCCCGTGCGGACATATACCTTTTGGATGATTGCCTATCCGCTGTGGATCAACATGTAGGGAGGCATATTATTAACCGAGTCCTGGGTCGGAATGGCGTTCTGGCTGGCAAAACAAAGATCCTCGCAACTAATGCTATAGCTGTGCTGAAAGAAGCGAACTTTATCGCGTTATTGCGGAATGGGACTATCATTGAGAAGGGAACATACGAGCAGCTCCTAGCCATGAAAGGGGAGGACTGCGAATATTATTCGCACCACTACAACTGAAGATGATTCCGGTTCAAACGATAGCTCTAGGGAAGACGAAAGCGTGAAAAGCCCTGAGACATTAGCAATCGCTGACAATGAGGATGAATCTGATCTCTCAGAAATAGAAGAAGCCCAGGAGCGATTGGGACCTCTTGCGCCTGCGCAGAATGGACGTGCCATGCGGCGGGAGAGCACTGTAACTCTAGGACGCGCAAGCACGGCGAGCTGGCAAGGCCCACGCAAAGTCACGGATGAGGAAGGCGCTCTCAAATCTAAGCAGACGAAGGAAACTTCCGAGCAAGGAAAAGTTAAATGGAGTGTCTACGGCGAGTATGCGAAGACGAGCAACCTCTACGCTGTGGCGAGTTATTTAACGGCACTTCTATTGGCACAAACGGCGCAGGTTGCTGGCAGCTTCTGGCTAGAGAGGTGGTCAGATGTAAATAAAAAATCAGGAAGGAATCCGCAGGTTGGGAAATTTATCGGCATTTATTTTGCCTTTGGATTTGGGTCTTCTGCTCTTGTTGTCCTGCAGACTTTGATTCTTTGGATATTTTGCTCCATTGAGGTATGTTTATCGGCGATTTATGCGTTTATACTGGTATATGGGATGTTTCACTAACGGCATTATCAAGGCATCCCGTAAATTACACGAGAGAATGGCATATGCTATATTCAGGTCTCCTATGAACTTTTTTGAAACCACACCTTCTGGCAGAATTCTTAATCGCTTCTCGAGGTTTGTCTTTTTCCTCGTTGCTGGTCAATTCAGCTTTGTTTCGTTGCTAACGCTACTCAATTTAGCGATATATATCGAGTTGATGAAGTTCTCTCCCGCACATTCAATATGGTAGGATTTCCCCCCTAACAATTTTTGCTTGTTAAGTACTCAATACTAAGATGGAAAAACTAGCTATTCGTCAATGCTGCCAGAGCAGGATTTACAATGGTCGTCATTAGCGTTTCCACTCCACTCTTCCTTGTTATGATTCTTCCTTTGGGAGCAGTTTATTTTGGATTCCAAAAGTATTATTTGAGAACTTCACGCGAACTTAAAAGATTAGATAGTGTCAGCAAGAGCCCCATCTACGCTCACTTCCAGGAAACCCTCGGCGGCATCTCTACGATTCGCGCATATAGGCAGCAGGAAAGATTCTCAAAGGAGAATGAGTATCGGATGGACGCTAACCTTCGAGCATACTACCCTTCCATTAGTGCGAACAGGTGGCTCGCTGTGCGTCTAGAATTCATTGGCTCTGTGATTATCCTTGCAGCAGCCTCATTCCCGATTCTGTCTGTGGCAACTGGAGTCAAATTGTCTGCTGGAATGGTCGGCCTTTCGATGTCGTACGCGCTCCAGATCACCCAGTCCCTAAATTGGATTGTGCGACAAACGGTCGAAGTGGAAACGAACATCGTATCGGTCGAGAGAGTGCTCGAGTATGCAAACCTACCCAGCGAAGCGCCTGATGTCATTTTTAAGAAGCGGCCGCAGATTGGGTGGCCGTCCCAGGGTGGTGTACAGTTCAAAGATTACAGTACCCGATACCGGGAGGGCCTAGATCTAGTCTTGAAGAATATAAATCTTCAAATTCAGCCTCACGAAAAAATCGGTGTCGTTGGTCGGACAGGTGCAGGTAAAAGCTCATTGACTTTGTCGTTGTTCCGCATCATTGAAGGGACATCAGGCAGTATCAGGTGAGTCTCTTCGTTGGGAGGGTGGTCAAATTTCTGGGACCTTTGTTTGCTGAATTCCCCTGTGACAGTGTCGACGGATTGGACATCAGTTCTATTGGCCTATTCGATTTGCGGGGTCGCTTGGCAATCATTCCCCAAGATGCGGCCATGTTCGAAGGAACCGTTCGAGACAACCTCGACCCGCGCCACGCCCATGATGACACCGAACTCTGGAGTGTTCTCGGTGAGTCTTCTCTCAGCTTTGGATGCCCAACCTTTAGTTCCACGCTGACCACCACTGTCAATCACGACATGCACGGTTAAAGGACCACATTTCCAGTTTACC